GGGACCTGTTCCAAACCCCTGATCATTTTAGTTGTCCTCCCCTCTTCCACCCTCTCTCTTCCCCTCTCCCACCTCCTTTTCCCAGTCTCCCCGAGGTTTGTTCAATAAAGAGAGTTTCTATTTTTGAACACACGTGTCCTTTATTTTGTACATCAGGAAGGGGGGCTAGGGAGGGGTAAGTGGAAGGAGGTGAGGGAGGAATGGGGTAAGATCTCCCGACGGGGAGGACTGGGATGGCTCTGCGGGCCCCTCGGGGTGGAAGCTCTCCTGCAGCCCCCCGATTGACCCCCCCCCCGGATGGCAGCCTGTGGCAAGTGCAGCCGGGCTGATGGCCGAGTGCTGTGATGTGCCGAGTGTGGGCACTTCGGGCACTCCAAGCCAGGACTGCTTTGCTGTCCCTCATCGAGTTAGACAAGCGAGCGGGGAACCCCTGAGAACTGTCTGTCTGGGGTGGGCGTCGGGTCCCTTTAAGCACAGCCCTCGGCTAGCCTGAGACAGCAGCTCCACGCTCTAAGTCCTAATCTGATGCCCTGCCGGCACTGCCTCCGGCCATCCTTAACCTCGGTTCAGGGTCCATTCAATGTGGACATGCTAGTTCGAATTAGCATTTTGCTAATTTGAACTAGTTTTTAGGTCTAGATGCACTAGTTTGAATTATCTTAGTTCGAATTAACTAATTCAAATTAAGTTAGTTCGAATTAGTGCTGTAGTGTAGACATACCCCTAGTCTGACCTCCTGTATAGCATAGGCCACAGAACTCCCCAAAATCTTAGAGCACATCTTTGAGAAAAACACTCAGTCTCAATTTGAAAATGGTCAGTGATGAAGAATACCCCGTGAATCATGATAAAATTACTCCACTGGTTAATTACACTCACCAGTCAAAATTTACACCTTGTTCTCAATCCAAATTTGACTATCTTGAACTTCCAGTCATTGGATTGTGTTATACCTTTTTCATGATTAAATATTTGTTCACTATGTAGGCACTTCTACACTGAAGTCAAGTCACCTCTTAACCTTCTCTTTGTTAAGCCAAATAGAGTATAAGGCATGTTTTCTTGTCCTTCAATCATTCTGGTGACTCTTCCCTGAACCCTCTCCAATTTAATCAACATCCATTGTGAAATGCTGATGCCTTAACAGGACACAATATTACAGCAGCAGTTACACCAATGCTAGACACAAAGGTAAAAGAACTCCTATTCAGGAATTCTCTGCTTGTCCATTCAGGATCACACCGGCCCTTTTGGCTACAGCACCAGGAGCTCATGTTCATCAAGTCATCCTTTCTTTATACTTACATTTTTCCTTTTGTCACATGAATGATGGTTTTGTAATTATAAAATGGGACTGGGAATTTGGCATGGGAAATTGGTATGGATTTCCTATTGAATATAGGACAGGGGCTTGAGGTCCCTGTGCCTAGGTATTGAAATCAGAGCAAGGTTTTTAATTTAAAATAGGAGTTGACAATTTCAGTTCATTTTGCACTGTGTGAAGTCTTGTTAAAGGATCGAAAGTTTGCTTAAGACAAACAGGCTATGTCGACACTGGCATGATTTTGCGCAAACACTTTTAACGCAAGAGTTTTTGCGTTAAAAGTATTTGCGCAAGAGAGCATCTATACGGGCATATGCCTTTGCGCAAGAGATGTGCTTTTGCGCAAAAGCATCCGTGCCAATGTATACGCTCTCTTGCACAAGAAAGCTCCGATGGCCATTTTAGCCATCGGACTTTCTTGCGCAAGAAATTCATGTTGCCTATCTACGCTGGCCTCTTGCGCAAGAGGGCTTTTTCCTGAGCGGGAGCATCATAGTTCTTGTGCAAGAAGCACTGATTTCATACATTAGAATGTCAGTGTTCTTGCGCAAGAACCCCCTGCCAGTGTAGACAGGTGGCAAGTTTTTGCACAAAAGCAACTGCTTTTGGCAAGATTTTGTGCAATGTAGGCACAGCCACAATGTCTGGGCCCTAGTAAATTACCCAGGTAACATATTCCAGCAATTTGAGCTGCACCCTACTCCAAGATTTAATTCTTACAAATTAAAATCAATAGACAGGATCAAATGAAGGCTTGCTTTCAGCATGTAAAAATTAACATGACTATTTGGGTGGCAAATCTATTTTTTCAGTACAGTAAGCCAAGGTCACTGCAGTTGCTTGGGGAAGATGTGGCCCATTAAATTGATTGTCAGATCAGTAGATCCTGTCACAAGAAAGTTGAAAGTAGCAGAGCGGGCTGATTCTCTGCTGTTACTTTTATAAAAGAATTGTATTACAGAATCTTGGACAGGGCTTACATTCTCAGAATATTTCCTGGAACCCAGGGTTTAAAAATATTTACCAGAGCTCCACTTCAGCTCCAACTCAAAGTACTGGTCCTAGGGTTTTCAAATTCCACATGTGCAATTTATGTCTAGAGGAAAATTTGCAAAAATTCTTGCACTCAGGAGGCCTAGGCTACAGAGGTGAATAAGATTTTATAAAGCAACTAACATTTTCAATAAATTGTTGAATGCTTGTAGGCCTAGATTTTGGCCCAGAAATCTGTTTCACTCAAGAGATGTCAATGCAAGCTATTTCAGACTGAGAATTTTAAGTGTTTGTTTATGGAATTATTCTCTTCTCCAAAAAAGGAACATATCAAATTTCCCTAAAAGTTCACCTACAAAGTTCACCAATGAGCAGATGTGCTGTGCATACTTTGTTAAGGAGATTTAGCTCCTCCAAGCTACTTACAATTATTGGAATTCTGACAAAAAATCCACAAAGGCATCTTTGAGGATTATAAACACCACCAGGATTACTGCTGAGATTACAAACCCTGGTACATTATGGTCTTCCACAACCAAGAGCAAAACAAAGATAAATGGATCTCATTTTGCATCTGGTTTCAGGTACTTAATGGAGATAAATATATTTCTTAGAAGAAGCTTCCCTGGTTTTAAAAAACGGGGTTGGGACCGTTTTTCAGCTACTTGATGTCTGTGTTATGAGTCAGGTAGTCACTACAGACACTAGAGATAGCTAGAAATCTCAGTTTGGCAGAAGTGTTGCTATACAGAGAGTGGTGAATATAGCATCTTAGATACAAAAGAAAATATGAGAGATGGAATAGACATGTTTTTCCTCCTCATACTTATCCTGATAAAAGTATTTTGAATCTGCATTTTCATCTGGTGATATGGGGCCTTGTTCTAATTTCACTTGCTCCAATGTAAAGCAATAACTCTGCAGAAGTCAATGTAGTGACAAGTGTAACACAGGTATGTACAGAACTGAATCAGACCCACTATATTTGTCATGTGATTAGTAATCAAAATTACTATCCTAGTCAATGCTAGATGACTGGTAATGATGTGATTGCATGATAGCCTATAATTGGACAATGAGAATTGGCTATGCTACTATGCAATACATAAAATGCCTAAAATGAGTCCCTTACAGATATGGGTATAGTTAAAAATAAACCTTTCAAGCTAGCACAGGCTGAATGCCTGTAGCAGTCGCTTCATTTCATCTCTCAGTGAATATGCTCATGCGCAGCATGTTCTTTCTACATCACCTGAACAGTGTTATGTCAAAATACACTTTCTTTGAACAAGAACAGGCATGCATTCATTAGTCAGGAGCTCCTACCTACAGATCTTTCATATTCAGAACACAAACAGGACACCCCTCTTCAGAAGCTGTCCCACCCCCCAGAGAGAAGAGGTTATGCTATACTATAGCACATCCTACCTTCCTCACTCATACTATCCTTTTTGAGAAAACAGAACCCACCTGGAAAGCAGCTGCAGATTCTGGATGGTTTTCAGAGCCAGAAAGCCTTCCTTAGAGCCAAACAGCATATGAATGCACATCTGCACTATCTCAAGAGCAAATCCCAAACTCCAGCTGCAAGGAGTACCACCAACCCAGCTAATCCATTCACCAGCTGACAAAGCCCAGCTGGTGTGAGAGCCGACTTATTTCAAACAGGCTGGGTGTGCCTTCCATTCACTTTAGAACCTTCCTGGCTCACTGCCACAATACCTACACGCCCTTCTGCTAGTGCAGTGGTCACCAACCAGTAGATCGGGATCTACTGGTAGATCTTGGAACCTCTGACAGGTTTGGCCAAAAGGCTATCAAGTGCCAGCACTTCAGCTGCTTCTCCCTCTATTGCTGCTCAGCTCCTGCCCTTTGCCTTGGGGCTGCCTCCCCCCACCCCTGGGGAAACCTCCTGCTTGCTGTGCAGAGGAGGGGAAGAGGGGCATTGATGTCAAGGTGTCCCCTCTCCCTCCCTGTATTCCATCTCCACGGAGCAGAGTGAGGGGCACAACAGGACATGGGAGGGAGTTTGCTGGCTGCCTTTGGATGTGGTGCAGGGCCACACACATCCTTGGTCACTTCACTGGAGCAGCCTGCAGGACAAAATTTTACCTATTACTAATTAGTTACCAATTCTGATTCTTATTAATGGATTACCTGATGTCATGAGGATTCAGGATTTCTTTTCTAGAATTACCTTTTCAATAAGTCTTTGGATCAGGCTCATACTGTAGGTGGAAAGATGGTTTGCTTCAGGGGGCTTTGGGTCAGGTGAGCCCCATATGCTTATTTCCAATGAGGCTGGGATTAGTAGGTGATGCAGCAATTTGTGCAATTCTCAAACAGTTCTAACTCATTAAAGTCAAAGCACACACGGAGACAGTGACCGTGATTCTCATTCACATGAAGGTAACATTGCACCACTCTGGAAGCATAAGGGGTACTTGCAGTAGGTGTAAAAGCATTTTAGTAGAACTACTAAAATGTAACTCATCCCCTTTCAGACTCCTATATACTGCTAGAATCAAGCAAAGCTAACCTCATTGTAAATTAGAATCAAGCCCTTTCCTCAGAGAAGCCTCTTTGACAGCAGGTCTCATGTTTGTTTGCAGGAATCATATACAGAACTGCTGGAAAACTCATTGCCTCAAAAGAATTAAAATAAACAGAAACATCTACATACCAGTTTACTTCTGGTGGAGGAAAATAATTCTGTAAATCTGGATGTAACCTCCGGAGCTGAAGGAAGACAGAAATGTAGAGCTGCGAGTGACTAATGTTCCCAGCTGCTTTCTTTGGCTACTACCTCTTCTAATGACACTACAGCATGGAAAAACAGGGTGTTTAGTAAGGGAAGCTGGAAAACATTTCCAGACTTCTGGCCTTGTTTAGAGTTATTGGCTTTTTGCTGTCTTATTAACCCAGCATCACACCAAAAATAAATGCTAGTCATATGAATTAATCCTTTTAGGTCTGCATGCAAGGAAGCCAAGGGAGTTGCTGTTGAATGGAAATAGTTGCATGTGTAGCACTATTAAGGGGAACTGTAGTAACACATGCTGCTTTTTGTTATGCAGCGGATGGATTGCATAGTATACCTTTTTTATATGTTTTGGTTCATAAAAAGTAATAATAAATGAACAGAAAAGCATTTAAGAACTCAAATGAAATGTTTTACAACACTACAATGAGGTTGAATCTGACATTCTAGTTATTTACTATAAATAAGCTTTTCTTCCTGTGTGTCTGAAATGCATGAAGCCAACAGACACCATGGGTCAAATCCTCAGCTGGTAGACAGCACTGTCTATTCCACAGAGACTCAGGCAAGCTGCTTTATTTTCTTGGTTCAGTCACTAGCCTGCTAGGTGATTTGGGAAAATACTTTACCTCCTCATGCCCTAGTGTCCCCACATAATAGGCAAAATTGTACTGAGCTCCTTTGTAAAGCTCAGTATGAAAAGTCAGCATGCACCACATTAGCTGAGGATCTGGCCCCTTATTGCTACACAAAACCACCCAAACACATCTCATGAACAGACATTTCTCCTTGTGTTAATATTAACATCTTAACCTGCTATAACTTTCATTGATTTCAGCTGAAATCTCAAAAGCCCAATTAATATAGGATTGGGCCCTAAAGCTTTACTTGTTTTATTTTGTATCTGTGCCCAGACCTAGTGAGAAAGGCATGCTGAATTTGTACTATTCAGGCATTTCATTATGGGTTCAAGCCACTCCTTAATTGCTGCTAGCATTTTGCCAGTGTGACTGTTGGATAATATTATAACAGTTTGAAACAAAGTTAATGAAAAGCCCTGTTCCTCTTTTGCTTTCTTGACCTCTCGTTATTACTGGGAAGTGCTTTAACTTTGCCATGTCATTGGTGTTTCTTTGGTGCAGCAGGGTCAGTTAATGAGGCTTTGGGTTTTTATTGTACATAATAATAAGGGTGCCATTATGCCAGCAGGATTATTTTGAACAATTAAATGCATTCATGAGCAACACAACTCATATACATTTTTCAGAAGGAAGAGAAATACTCTGGGTTGTACATGGTGAGGATAAAACAAAGGGGATTATTTTCATGCAAATTATGAATCCTGGGATAATCCATAGTGAATAAAATGATTATATTGAAAGGCAATGAGCTACAATAGCACCATCAATGCTTTGGTTTAAATTAACCCTTATTTTATTTATTACACATTTCAAAATGAAATGCAGCACAAAAGACATATGGGAGCTAAGATACAAGAAGAAATAAGCCTTCTAAAGAAGATACTTAACTGGTATTAGCCAAAGTACAAATAGTTGAGAAGACAGGTAAAATGATAACTCACCAGGATTACTAACAATTCTCAGGTAAGAAGTCCTGTGGCACCGTCGGCCTGGTCTACATTAGGACCTTAGTCCAAAATTAGCCCCCCAAGGTCAATTTTCTAAGTAACTTGTCCATGCTACCAAGACTTTTACTTTGGAATAAGGGGCCATGGAATTCAAACTCTGTAGTCCAGCTTTTCATGAGGAATCACACTATTCCTGTACTTTTAAATCCAAAATAACATTAGTGTGGATGCTCCTGAGTTGCTAATTCAAAATAATTGGCCTCTGGGAGGCCTCCCACAGCTCCTCAGAGTGCTTCCTGGGGCTCTGAGTCTGAGGTAGTGTGTGCACATTAACGGAACTTGCCTCCGACCACATTGGATTCTTCTCTGTAGTGAGGACTCAAAACTTCGAATTTGTAAAATCAGGTGCCCAGAAGTTGAACTTAGACATGGCCCCAGAAACTAACAAATATATTATATCATGAGCTTTCCTGGGTAAAGCCCACATTCAACTGATGATGTGGGTTTTACCATGATATTATATATTTATTAGTCTCTAAGGTACCACAAGAGTGCTTGTTTTTTTAGTGGTTTAACTGTTCTTTTTATATCCTACTTAGCAACTATCTGAATTATACCATCTTTGGCACTGTCCAATTTAATTCTGGCACATTTAATTTAAAACATCTGCTGAATAAAATGTTAAGTGTCACTCCCATCCACCCACTTCAGTATTAGAATTATGGATATTTTAAATATGTTGGAGAAACTGCAATGAACTTTGATGTTATAAGTTTACTTTTTAGATATAACTCTCTCACACTTATAAATAAAGTACTATCTATATATATGCACTCTGTTATGGTTTGGTGGGATTTTTCAAAGGATTTAGACTTATGTTTGTACAGTATTTAACATAATCAGGTCCATGACTAGGGCTTTGTTATAATAATAGGGGGTCTATCAGGCCTACCCCAATTGTGAACTTGCCTGTGGAGAAGCAAATAAAAGTTTATATAACTTCCCAGTCACCTATAACAATAAATGTCGAGGGGGGGAATACAAAAGGGAGACAGACTGACAGACTGTTGGAATTGGTTGAACAGAGACTTTGAGTTATAGAAGTAGGCGGCGTGACTGATGAGAGGGAACCCAGGGGCCACTGGTCATGTAACCCACCCCCCAGGGAAGGGTTGGGACAACCCCACTTCACCCCTCCGTGCCCTTGCACTGCCTTCTCCTCGTCTCTTCCCTGCCCTTGATGTGGCCCTGCCTTAACTCTTCCCCAATTGAGTCAGGCCAGGGGAATAACAGAACTGAGGGGGGAGGGTTAGTGCTGGAAGCAGGGGTCCGACCTCTCCCACTGCACTCACCAGCAGTGGTGGGAAAAGCAGAGCAACATGGTCTCAGCTCGCTTTGCTCCCCTACTTGTGTTGCTCTGGTGAGTACAGGGGCAGCCCTGCCCCTCCCCAGAGTGGCACACCCAGGGGAGCAGAGTGAGCTGGGCCCATGTCGCTCTGCTTTCCCCACTGCTGCCAATGAGTATGGGGGAGGGGATGGATCCTTGCTGTGGGCGCCAACCTCCCCCCCCCCAATAGTGCCCTTTTGTCTACTGGCTGGCCCCTTGCTCTTCCCACTCACAGTGTTGGAACATGTGACCCCCGGTGACCTCCATGCATCACTTCTTATGCCTTTTGGTTTGAAATTATGTCTTTAAACAAGAGGGGTGGGAGACCAGAAATCAATGGACCAAAATAGGTGTGTCAGAAATTATGCCTAAATGGTGACTGCAGTAATGAAAGGAGAAGCACCCAAAAAGAGGAACCCAGATGATGTTGCCCTCTACACTGGATCCAGTTAAATCCTAAACACTACCTGGGATGGTATGAAACATTGTCACAGACACACTCCCACTCTCATACGTGTCCTTTTCCTCCCACAACTTAGTCTGATTTTTTTTCATTTTTCTTTCAGTCTAATAAGTGTTTGGCTCATCATCCAGAGTGTGTATTTTGCAATACTGTTGTAGTCATATGACCAGAAAGACCACTAAAAGCAGTGCCCTAAGCAGCTCATCACTGGTATGAGTTTGCCAGATCTGGGAGTGCCTGAGTAGACCATGTGCTGAGCCTGTTTCTCTCTAGCAGAAAGGTTGCAAGTAAGGGTACATCTACACTGCAACACTTTTTTGAAATAACTAGCCTATTCCAAAATAATTTAGTCCATGTCTACACAGCAGGCAGTTATTTTGAAATAGTGTCAAAATACTGTCAAGCTGGAGGACTTCTTACTCCAACTCCTGTAACCCTCATTGTAGGAAGAATAAGGGAAGTCAGAGGAAGAGTGCTCTATTTCGAAATAAGTGCTGTGTAGATGTTCCCTATTTCGAAATAAGCTATTTTGAAATAAGATACCAATTGATGTAGCTCAATTTGCATAGCTTATTTTGAGTTAAGCCCTGCAGTATAGACGAATCCTAAGAGTCAGCAGCAGAAATGGAATCTGTGTTTTCTCTTTCCTCTTTTTTTCTCTCCCCCCATGAGCATACTTGTTTTGTTCCATCTTCAAGAGAATGGGATTGAATTTTAACAGCAACTCCACCCAGCCCACCTCAACAAACCTATTTCCCTCAAAAATGGAGAGTTATTTAATTTCCATCTTTAATACCATCTCAAAGGTTGTCAGGCAGGAGAAGGAAATAAGGGATATTGTTAAAATGAAAGCCTTAATACTTTTCATTTCAAGTGCTTTAGTTGTTCCCTTCTTTTTCTGTATCTTTAATAACAAGGTTATTAAAGGTTATAAGGATTGTTAATGATTGTTTACCAAGGAACTAAAAAGCAGAAGCCTCTATATACAAAACCATGTTTAACTGTTTAGTGTTGTACAGGACTAGGGTCACATTAATACCGTTGACACTCTGGGGCTATTTATTCCCTTAAAGTTAGCACAACAGCTCCTAGGCACTATTGTAAATACAGATGATAAACATCTTTCATTAAAATTAATGGAAAACATGTGGCTAACTCACTGGATCATTTTTATAAAATATTACACGTACATGTGATTTTTTGAGATTTTTCAGAAATATTATTATAAAAGAACAACTAACTACTATATATTTGAGAGAGTTTGTCGGTAGCTCTGTCTCTGTGTTTGTTCAAGAACTCCTAAAAGGTAAGAGTTAGGGCACCTAATTCAGTATACAGCTTCTTATCATAATTTAAAGCAAGGTAAGGGTTTGGTTGTGGCAGGAAAATGGGATTTTCCTGGAATGGAATTGTTTCTCAGAAAACAATACAGAAAAGAGACAAAATCACCAGGTGGGTGAAAAGGGCTGCTTTGGGGTGTGCCCTCCTGTCTGGGAGCGCCCCAGCTTTTAGCATCCCCCAACTCGAATTTGTACAGGAATATTGCTGGCTGTCTCCCTTCATTAGAGAGCAAAGGGAAGTGCACAGTTTGCTGCATTTGGGGTAGTCCTTTCTCCTCAGGGCAGCCTGCATATTGAACCCTCATCCCTAGCCCCACTCCAGATCAGTGATTTAAATGAAGCATGTCATTTTTTTTATGTTAAAAAAAATTACTTGAATTAAGGACCTAAGCAATGCGGGGTAAATCTTCTAGTCTAAAATATAATAGATGGCATAGTACATGACCAGTTCATTATTCAGTTAAATCTCTGTCACCACAGGAAATGAATTCACGGCCTGCTCTATTCAACGAAGTCTTTAATCTTAAGGTGGAACGTGGATGAGAGGGAAAGAATTTGGTGTACAGGGCAATTAGAGATGTTACATGGAAAAGTTACTTGTGAGAAATGGCTAGCTTCCCATGAATTTTTCATTGATGTTTATGATTTTGACAGCTTTCAAATCAGATATTTTCATTCTATATTATAGCAAAATAGGAATCAGCTGTCACAGTCATTCTGTGACTGACAGTCCAATCTCTGTTCTTGAACTTATGCATGTGAATCACCATAAACCACTTTTCCAGTATTTTGTCAAATATCAGAGACTAACTATTGTTATTTAATGAATAACAATATAACCAAGCTGACAAGATCATGCTCTACTAGTAAGAATGCTTCATGCAGCAGGATTTCTGCCTCCATCCGTGCAGTGGGGTACTGTATGGAGAAGATCCATGGAAATCTCAGGAACCAGAAAATGGGAATGGCAACTATAGTTGTTTCATCAAGTTTTCTACCAGTCTGTACTCCCCCTCCATGGATATGTCAATATGTAGTAGTATTGTACTCTCTTTCAGCTGGTGTAAAGTGGCATGGATCTTCTGAAATCACTGGTGCTGTATTAGCATACACCAGCACAGAATCTAGTCCATCACTGGGATCTCAGCAAGCCCACAGACAAGAGGGGCATAAGTAAATTAGGGTTCTGTGAATTTGGAGTTAATTAATTAACTCTTATGGACATATTAGATTTAGAACAGTGAGACTGACAGCAGAATTGCTCTTCGGCTACATCTAGACTGGCATGTAAGGGAAGGGGGAGGCACCAGGAGGGTGCAGGGGTAAGGGAAGGTGCAGGTGCCAGGGGATTCTGGGGGTGAAGCAGAACGGCAGACACCTACAGGGGAGAGACCAGCACCAGAGGAGAGAGGCAGGGCAGGTGTGTAGAGGGAGGTGTTATAGAAGAGGGGACGAGGAAGGGTAGCTCATGTGATCAGAGTGGGGCTACTGGAGGAGTGGGCACAGGGGAGAGAGAAGGGCTGGTGGAGGGGGGCAGGTCTCAGGAAGGCTGAGGGCAGTGATAAGGGCAGGAGTCAGGACAGTAGAGGAGGGTGGGTGGTTGGGGGCAGCAGGCACCTGGGGAGCTGATGGAGCAAGGGGAGGAGACATGGCAGCAGAGGGAAAAGGTAGAGGTTTATAAGATATTTATTAATAACTTGGGTGCCACAGTGGGACATCCAAACAAGCCACATGAACTCAGTACTGGTGCACAACACAAAATTCATTTTGCTCATGGGAGGAAACTCTTAGGCTACGTCTACACTGGCATGACTTTGCGCAAGAACTCTTTTGCGGAAGAGTTCTTGAGCAAAAACTCTTCCAGAAGAGTGTCTACACTAGCATGTGCCTTTGCGCAAGAGATGTGCTTTTGCGCAAGAGCATCCATGCCAGTGTAGATGCTCTCTTGTGCAAGAAAGCTCTGATGGCCATTTTACCCATCGGGCTTACTTGTGCAAGAAATTCATGTTGCCTGTCTACACTGGCCTTTTGTGCAAGAGGGCTTATTCCTGAGCGGGAGCATCAGAGTTCTTGCGCAAGAAGCACTGATTTCATACAGTAGAACGTCAGTATTCTTGCGCAAGAACTTGCGGCCAGTGTAGACAGGCAGCAAGTGTTGGCGCAAATGCGGACGCTTTTGCGCAAGATCGCGCCAATGTAAACAGCCTGAGATGGAACACTTCTCCCAGCCTCTCCGCCCCCGAGTTGTCACACACATTGGGTTACTGCAATTGCAGGATAGATGCATGAGGGGGGTTTGGTGGGGGCCAAACGAATCCCTATGGGTAGGAGGATGGTGGGAAAAGTCCTGGGGGGGGGAGTGTCACATGACACCTTTTACTTTTGGTCATGTGTCCATCTTGCCCTGAGTGTTGCCTCCAGCGCACACCTAAGGGGGGTAAGGGGTGTGGCTAATGGGGGAGGGGGAGGGTCAAAGAGTACATTTAAAAACATTCTTCAGGCGCACACCCCAATGAAATATGCCTGTGACAGTGATGTGTAAAAGGGAAGTCAAATCCCCCGGAGCCATTGACTCCCCTATGAGGGGCACGTACAATATACATACATTGCTAATGCTTAGATATATTTGCTATTTGTATAGGAGTAAGACATGACAAAGGTCAAGGCCTGTCACAAGTAATAACTTATAATAAGGAGACGAGGGGAAGTGAAACCAGTCTTCTGTTAAGTAGAGATATGGATAGATTCCACATCCTTTAAACTTGTGACCGGCTCAAGCAGGAAAGGAAAAAGGGAAGTATGGCTTGCCCATTGTTCAGCAAGTAGGCACTGTATTTAACCTCATTTGGAAAATTAACCTGACCTATAGGAATGCTAAATGTCAAAGATGAAGTAACCTATCATGTTAAGGCACCTAAACCAGGAAAGATGTGAACCCTATAAAAACCCCTGCCTATGAGATGTTGGGGGTCGGCTCTGATTTGAACATTGAGTTCCTTAGCCGTACCTTGGTTGCAACCAATAAACTTGAGTTGGACCCAGCCTGAAAGTGTGACTCTCTTCTTGGGGTAAATCAGACTAGCCTCCAAGGGGACCAAACCAGCAATTTATGCAACAACAGGAAGCAGTGGAGCATGCAGCAGCAGGGCTGGGTCCTAGAGAGCTGAATGCGCTGCCTGCGGCACGGTCTGAGGGAGGGGATGGGCTGCTGGGGTCTGGGAAGGGGAGGCCTGGGGGCACCAGTTTCATACCCCTCAGGGCGGCCGGAAAAGCAGCTCGCGCCCAATAGGAACCTAGTGGCGTTGTCATGGTGACGGGCGTTGGGGGCCAAGGACTTCGGGAAGCCCGTCTCCAGAGGCCACCTCTGACCCGGAACAGGAAGTGGTGGCGGAGCGTAACCTCTGACCCCCCCGTGACACGGAAGGGAAAGGGGACAGCGACTAAGGTGAGACTGGGCTGCAGGGGAGGGAGCGG